TCCAGCTGGAAGGACCATCAAGGTCACTAGTATCCCTAGGCAAATTAAGGGCTGTTATTTGTTCTCACCCTCCCCCAGTTTTGAACACTAAACCTTGCTGGTAAACATTCCTTCTCAGGCATTTGATTTCCTTCTCTGTCTGCCAAGAGTGTCCTAACACCATATCAGCTATACTTCTCCAACCAGTTGAGCATGGTCCTCCCTAAGCCCACCCTGCACGTGCCCTGTTCAGTCCAACAGCCCATCCTCGAGTCCAGCCTCCTTCCCATCCCTCTGGTTGTCAGAGGACATGTCTAGCCCAAGCCCCACTTGAGTCCCATTTTGCCAAACAGCCTGAGTTTCTCAGTTATCCCATTTCTCCCAAGAGACTACCAGAGGGGCACATAGTAGAGACACAGAGTCCAAGAGCTCGGTCTTAAACATTAACCCAGAAAGAGCAACGGTGGAGCACAAAAACAGCTTCTGTGCATGGAAATTACAAACCGCTCCATTTCCAAACACAAGACAGTACTAGGGAAAGGGCTGGTAGAGCTCTGGGCTATTTCTCTGTCCGTCCCCCAAAGCTACCAGGCCAGGGTCTTTTCAGGAACAAAAATCTCTATACATGACATTCCAGCACTGAATTTTGGAATAATATAGGCCTCACCTGCTCAAATAAATTAACATTCTCTTCTGAGCCGACTCATTACTTGGAATGCAAAGTGTGCGTGCCAACCTGGATGGAGACAGGAGAGGACATGGAAAGAGATGATGCAACTTACCCAAACCGCATGAGCCTGGTTTGGAGAGGAACGCAAGGAGATGGAGAAATGGCTCAACAGTTAAGAGCACTTACTGCTCTTGCAGAGAGGACCAAGGTTGAGTTTCCCAGCACCCAAATGGTACCTCTCAACCATCTATCTAATGCATTCTGGGGGATCTGACACCTTTCCTGACCTCAGACTCGTACACATACGTGATGCACATACCCACGCTCAGGGACATACACAAAATAAATTGATAATTTTAACGTAAATGAACAGAAAAAGAACATTGCAGAATATTAATATTGTTTTTATAGACCACACTTCGGTCCATTATATAGGATGTTATAAGAAACTCAGTCAGTTATCGCCCAGATGCTGTCCTGACATTTGGTCATTGCAGCTCAGATGATACTTTCTTTTTTTTTTTTTTTTTTTTTTTTTTTAAAGATTTATTTACTTATTATATATGAATACATTGTAGCTGTCTTCAGACACCAGAAGAGGGCATCAGATTTCATTACAGATGGTTGTGAGTCACCATGTGGTTGCTGGGATTTGAACTCAGGACCTCTGGAAGTGCAGTCAGTGCTCTTAACCACTGAGCCATCTCTCCAGCCCCAGATGATACTTTCTTAAGTGTAAGAAACTTCCGTGGAAAGTTGTGACACTGTAGGAGCTGCGGTTTGAAGTGGTCGGGTGGGGGTTTCCTATCATTCAGGTTCTCATTCTGTCCTTTGTAATTGCCAAAAATAATAATTATTTATATACATAAAATATATAAAATATAATTAGCATATATACACATTCATATATATACATATATATGTGTATATATATAATGTATTTTGTTCATGTCCCCTCTGAACCCCTTCCTTTTTCCAGTTAGGCCCCCTTCTACTTTTATTCATGTCTGTGTCTGTCCTGTTGCATTTAATATTGCTTATGCAATATTATGAGTTACATTTTAAACAGATCTGGAGGTGCATTGATGTATCTCCTTTTGCATTAAAGCAAAGCCACAGCAGAGATGCAGCTGGAGGATCATGTGATGCTGGGCTTTTTTCCTTTACAGAATTCTTATCTCTCAAGTTCAAGTGTGAAATAATTTCAATAAAACTCATTTCAGGCAAAGGAAAGTGATGAAAGCTGGCATTTTACCTTAAATGTACAACATTTCCTCCCATGGGAGTCTTTAAGGGCACTCAGAACATATCTACAACAAACGGCTTAGGGAGCAGAAGGTCCTGGTCTCTATGGGAATTCGAAGAGAGCTATGTTCTTAAGGACCCATTGTAACTCAACACACAATCTGTTGGGATCCTAGCCAACCCTTGTTAAAAAAAAAAAAAGTTGCAAACCACTCCATTTCCAGTAAAATTTCTCAGATAATTCGTGAATACTTTTCTAGAGGGACAACTTTAGAAAACCTGTGAGTCTCTAAGCTAGGTGAGCCCTTGAATGGTACAGACAATAAAAACTTTCAGAACTGAGCAAATGTGCAGAGCCAAGAAACTATGCCCTAATGTAGTGCAACAGCGCCATCTAGAGGCCAAATGCTGAGGCACTAGACATGACAAACAAAAAAACTAGGCATGCTATTATTACTGCCCAAACCAGCACCAAGCCTGCTTTCATAGCAAAGCCAGGGTGTGAGGCAGTTCACACATGCAAAAGCTGTTCTCCAACGTGGGCATGCCGAGAAAAGGCTAGCCAAATAAGTCCATCCCATTATTACCTATAAGGTATAGAACTACCAAATTCTAATCCCACCAAAATGTTTCAGTGTGGCTTTGTGTGTTGTTTACACCCTGCTTTATAGGTATCTCCTAAAGAGTCAAGTAAACAGGCATATGAAATATGCTCCAAGATAAGCAGGTTTCTTTATTTCGGGTTTCCTCCGATCCTTCAGTGTCTGACTGTAAAAAGTCCAACTGATGACAGGGTGCATGCTTCCAGATTTAACTGTAGAATCATTTTCTGCCCTACACACTTGAACAAACCCTCCCTCCTAAGCCAGCAAGATCAAGTGTTAGTGCAAGGATTGAGACTCCAAACAAATTGAGTTCCAATTCTAACTCCATTTCAACTTACCTTCTCTGTGTCTCAGTTTCCCCATCTGCACAACAGAAATGGCGTAGCTGTATCACATTCTGAGGATTGCAATATAAACCACTTAAGACAATTGATAGTAGTTGGTCCTCATGTCCTTGGGTGTCTTGTAATTCTGGTGAGGCAGCTCAGAGAAGCTGCCTTATTAAGAGAAATACACCAGCATTTGGGAGACATAGGCAAGCAGATCTCTGTGCATTCAATACAAGCTGGTCAAAGCAAAACAAGGAAAGGACAGAGAACCTTACCAAAGTCTATGAATCACAGTGCTTTTCCCAATAAGGCTTGAGAATGATTCTATCTTTTAAATCACGCTTCTCTGTACAAGAACAGAGCTCAAGTGTAAAATCAAGTCATAAGTGATATTGATAGATATGCACGTGTGTGCAAAACACATGCATATCTTATATACATTTATAATGTATGCATCTGTGTGCAAGATACATCTGTAACTCGTTTGGTCTGTGTATGACCATGTAGAGCATGTATACCTGTGTGCACCTATCAATGTGGAGCATAGAAAGGCAGTGCTTGGAGAACTAGCTAACAGTTCTTAAACTGCAGAGGTACTTGGCAAACCTTCCCAGCTCTGAGGTACTGTGGATAAACTCCCACTGGGCACACACATTCTGGGTAAACCTTCCTGAAGACTTTCTTCTCCACACCATTTCTTTTCCACTATTTCCACTTGTTTGATTGGGTTTTTTTCAAGATAGGGTTTCCCTGTGTAGCCCTGGCCATCCTGGAACTCACTCTGTAGACCAGGCTGGCCTTGAACTCAGAGACCCACCTGCCTCTGTCTCTCAATCTGCTGGGATTAAAGGTGTGTGCCGCCACCACTACCTGGCTTTTTGTCTTTCTTAATCCTCCCTGTACTTATTTTGTCAGGGTATAATTTTGTCAGATTGAGTCCCTCTGAAACATGTATTAGTTTTTTTAAGACAAGGTCTCCACTCTGTAACTCAGGCTGACCTAGAACTGTGTACTAGTTCTACGTACTATGCATTGATTCTCCTGCCTCTTGAGCTTTACATTATACTCATGTTTTGTTTTTGTTGTTTGGTTGCATTTTTTTTAAAGTCATCTCACAGCTGGGGGAGTAACTGGCTTAAGTGGCCCTTCTGCACTGACTCTGAGTAGCTAAGGTTACAGGTGTATGTCCCGACAGCTGTGCTATGCAAATCTTGAAGCAGCATCCCCAAGCCTGGTTCTGAAGCAGGAGGCAAATTAGGAGTATAGGTGTTAGGCTGGAATGCATGCCCTCCTCTGCCATCAATCACATGTGTGATGCTTGGCTACCTCGGTTTACCCATGGTACAGCTCTACAGATGTTGCTTCAGCCTGAGAACATCCTTGGCTTGAAGTTTAAGGTACATACATACCATCCTGTCTGCAGCTCTCAGCAAGGCTCTTTATCCATTCTGACCTGGTTCCATCGTGTGAAAACATACAGGGAACAATTAGATACACTTAATAGATCTTTTTCAAACAGCTTCTGTCATTTCTATTTCAGAGTTTCACCTCTAAAGTAGTCCGATTATGAAATGAAACAACCTTCAAACAATACCTCCTCTAGTTAATGACTAGTTCTTCAGTTTAAACTCAACCTAATGTAAACACTGAAGTCCAAAGGTTAATATTGAGTGCATAGGAAACTTGGTACCATGATTTTAGGGGCTCTTTTACATGGTTAGGGAGTAGGGGCAACCAGTGTATGTGTGGAAGTCAGAAGACAACTTGCAGGGTCTGTTCTTGCCTTTCACCATTCAGATCCTAGGGATTAAACTTAGGTCCCCAGGCTTGGTGACAAGCTCTTTCACCAACTGAGTCAGCTCACTTACCATGCTCTCCTCCTGTTCCACCTCAGCCTCCTTATTCTTCTGCCTGGATACAATGTACAAGTCATGCCAGGCTGTGGATGCTCCCCACCACCAGTAAGGTCTGTTAACATAAAACCGCAAATCCAAACATGTTCTCACCTGAGCCCCCACCTCCTACTCCATAGCAGAAATGGGCCATGAAAATGATCTCAACACAAATGCAGACATGCTAAGCAGAAGGAATGGTGACTGCACACAGCAGCAAAAGATGGAGGAATAGTGAGAGAACCACAACCACTCTACACATCACACAACAAACACTGGCTTTGGAGTAAATACATTTATTGAAACCCATTTTACATATAGTTCAATGAAATAATCTATAAATATAAAAGCATTTTTCCTTTGGATATCACCATGGTCCTTGTAAATACTCAACAGTCAGTCATCTGCAGGAAGCACTCCAAGTCTCACCGATAGGTTACAGACCTGAGTACATTTCACTCACCAGCGGCACTGATGCACTCAGGGGGCCCAGTGGCTTTGGAATGTGACTACTGGGCAAGTGTAATACAGAAAATGTGAAAGCCTAAATCAATGGAAGGGGTATCAGCCATGAACAACAGAGAACAATTATGAATTCATATCTCAGGCAAAGGAAAATACCACAGCTGACACTTGGTGCCAGAAGACCGCAGAGTATTAAAGTAGCACTCGTTGTACCACCGCATGCTTCCTCCAACCCCCAGAGGACAGTCCACCAGAGCCTTAGGGTCATCTGTGGTCAAAAACAATTCTTAAAGAGCCTACACAGCATAGAATAAAAACCATGGCATCAAGATTAAAGAAAAGTGAGCAAAGTACTTCAGTGACATAATGAGTTTGTCCCTTCACTGTGGGGGGACTGTGGGGAAAGCGTTTCCGTCCTAAGTTCCCTTTGTTACACTGTGCATGATCATGATCAGGTGAGGAGAACACGTCCATCTGCTACCCGAACCACAGGTGTGGAAAATCACTTGTGTTTCAAAGTTTTTCAACACAGCCAGGGAACTGATGTGGCCCTTGCCGAGGCTGGCTTACCCTGATGCCGCACAGAAACTTCCTCTTTTCTTCAGAACAAATACAGAAACGTCCTTTACTTTGTCTTTTGAGTCAGCAAGCTAATGCACTTCCAAGGTCTTAGAGGTACAGTGAGATCTGAGCTCTGAAAGGCAGTGTTAAAACGTAAGCAAAGCAATTCTTTAGACACTACTCAAGTGAAGGCCTAGGGGAAGCATATAAAACTCAGTTTCCTACTGTTTTAGGCTGGAATTGACAGCAACATTCACTGGTAAAGAAAGATACCTGGTTATCATCTCCAGGTCCAAAATATTCCAACTATTTAAAGTAGGACTCAAAAGAGAAGAAAAGACACACTGAGTTCCGAGGTCTCTGTAATTCTTCTGCGATGTATTTAGATAGCTTCAGCTGCACACAGCCGGCTGAGGGGCTTTCATCAAAAGAGAAGCTCCATCATGATCTCCAGATTCCCATAGGCAGCAGCTCTCGTGTCCTGCTGCACATGGCATCTGACCCTGGAGTGAGGAGTAAGCCAGCACTGAGCCTCCACCATTGAGATTCAGACTAGATGGCATTCCGAGGTGTGCCATTGTGTGCCAAGGCTTTCAGGCTTGGAGCACTGGTCTGATGACTGCAGCTTCTGTGAGAAGTCACACCCACCTCAAACACCTCATGGATAGCTTTTCGGAAACAGTGGAAGTTGTAGTCTATCAAACCTACAAGAGAGAGAACCAGCCTGTTTAAATGTCAACTGTGAAGCTCCCCACTCTCTGAAATTCTCCACATTGCAATCATGGTAAAGCCAAGAATCCAGCAGCTAACACTGTTACCTCTAGGGCAAAGTGAACAGCGAGGACTGGCAATCTAACAAATCAAGTGTGAAGAGGAATGTGTTAATAAACCCTGATGTCAGGGTAGCATTCTTTCTGCTACCAATGGCCCTGCAGAGCAGCTACTGAGGTCTGCAGGAAGCAGACAGGCAGCACTGGTACAAACTCAGCAGGGCTCCAGCAGCCTCCACCCAACTGTGAGAGGGGAGAGTTACTCTCTGTTTTAGGGACTGAACATCCACTTGAGACTTTGGGTGAACAAAGGTTCCTCTTATGACAGGAAGGGTGGGTTGCCATTTTCCCCCTTCTTCTTTATATATGGAACCCCAATTCTGAATGAGCAACTGAGATTGAGCTTTAAAAATTCCATTTCCTAGCCTCCCCTGAGATGGATACAGCCACTTGGCTTAAAATTATGAAATGCCCAAGCTGGAAACAAGCTCTTCAATCCTAAGAACCATCATCTATACCTGCTGGCATAGCAAGACCGTCACCCTACCTGCACTTGACCACATCAGACATCAAAAGCAACGTGTGGCCTACCGAATCATTATGTGACCTCTCATTCAGTAAGGTATAGCAGACTAGATAAGTCACTGAAGACTTATTAACAGCATGAGAGCGGATGTAATGTGTCAAAAGCAGCAGCATCAGGTCCACATTTTCAAGCATATGCTAGCTGGGGCAGAAAGCCAAAATACAACAAATCAAAATAATCCGCCAACTAACTACAAATGTAATAGAAGTCTACAGAAGGGAGGGCTAAATGCAGGCAGGGCAAGCTGGCAATAGAAACTTCAGGGATGAGGCTGAACTTTAGGTATACTGCTAGACTTCAATAAATCCTTGCACTTTAGTACATGTGCACACATACACACAAAGTAAATGTACTGAAATTATAAAAACAAAAACAAGTTACCAAAAAAACCTGAATGTCCATGAATAAGTGCTTTGCTATAAAAGTATCTGCCTTAATTAGCAATTAAATATGCAAAAATGAGATACCATTTCACACCTACAGACTGAGACTATGAGAATCCAACAGTATCAAGCATTCTCAAAGAGACACAAGATGAGAACATTCTCACAATGCTATGAGTGAAGACTGTAGAGCCACCTGGAAGATTCTTGTATTAATGCATGTGTACAACCCATTCTCACATGCTCACCCTAGAGACAGATGAGACGTTCACAGGCAATGGCTTTGGTTTGGGATTTGCTGATGTGTGCTCATTTTTGAGGCAGTCTCTCTCATGCACCCCAGTCTGGCCTCAAACCCATTAGGTAGCCAAGGATGATCTTAAACTCCTGATCCTGCCTCCACCTCCCAAGGCTGGAATTACAGGTGTGTGTAGGTGTGTGCTATCATACCCAGTTTATGTGGTGCTAGGGACTGTGAACCCAGAGCCTCCTGCATGCTACACAGGAACTCTGACAATGGAGCCACATCTCCAGCCCACTTTGTCTTGTCTTGAGATGGTATCTTGGTTTGCAATCCTAGTGTGCTAGGCTAGTTTCATGTCAACTTGACACAAGGTAGGTTATCTGGAAAAAAGGAATCTTAACAAGAAAATGCCACCATAGGATTAGCCAAAAGGCAAGTGTATAGAGCACTTTCTTCATTGATGATTGATACAGGGAGGGCCCAGCCTTTGTGGGTGGTACCAATCCTGGGCAAGGTGGTCCTGGGTTCTATAAGAAAGCAGGCTGAACAAACCATGGAGAACAAGAACATAAACAGCACCTCTCTATGGCCTCTGCATCAGCTCCTGCTTCCAAGATCTTGTCCCTTTGAGTCCCTCCCCTGATGTCCCTCAATGATGGACTATAATTGGCACTGTAAGCTGAAACTCTTTTTTCTGCCGAAGTTGCTCATGATCATGGTGTTTGGTCATAGCAACAGACTCTGAAACACCTAGATGGCCTCAAACACTTTCAAGTGTTGGCACTAAAGACATGAGCCTTTATACACAGCTTATTCATTGGTATTTGTCACAAAATTAATTACACCTTTAAAAATATCTGAATGTCAGCAACAAAAACAAAGTTCAATATACAACCCATACACAGCAGTGGGAAAAATCTCAAAAATAACCCTGAACAAGAAGAAAAATACATGTTGCAAAAACTAACTTCAATTCAGTATCATTTGCACAACATTATTTATGGGTAGGTATGAAGCAAAGGAGTAAACTATGCATAGGAAAAATAAAACACATAACACAGAAAAAAGCATGTAAACCAAGAGAAATATACACACATCTGCAGTTGTATGTCATAGCAGCACTGTTGTTAACTCCATGCATCTGTGTATGTGGGTTTGTACACATGGTGAGGTGCCTATAGAGGCTAGGAGGTATCAGACCCAGGAGCTACAGTTACAGATGGCTGTGTGCCACCTCACATGACTGCTACAGTCATCTGGAAGAGCGGGAATCTTAACATCACTGATCTACCTCTCCAGACTCCACACTGATTCTTAAGGTCAAAAATAAATTACACGTATTTTATTTAATATGAAAATTTATGTGGGCCGGGCGGTGGTGGCACACGCCTTTAATCCCAGCACTTGGGAGGCAGAGGCAGGCGGATTTCTGAGTTCGAGAGTTCGAGGCCAGCCTGGTCTACAGAGTGAGTTCCAGGACAGCCAGGGCTATACAGAGAAACCCTGTCTCAAAAAAAAAAAAAAAAGTATGTGTATATGAAGCATTTCTTTTGAAGCTCAGGCAGAAGAATGGGATTTTTTTTATCTGTGCACATGTGTGCACATGTGAGTGTGTGAATGTGTGCACATGTGACTGTGTGAATGTGTGCAGAGAGAAGGTATATACTTGCCACATCATATGTGTGACCAGAGACAACTTTGCATGTGTATTCTCTTCTGCCTCAACTTCTACCTTGAGACAGGGCCTCTGGTTGTCTGCTGTGTACGCCAAGACATGGCACACAGTAGAGGTCTATGCATCAGTCCTAGTATTCTGCTGCAGGCTCTTGCAGTACCTAGGAGAGTCCTTAAAGGTAGAAATGGAAAGGAACCATAAGGAATAGTTTCTGGGAACAAATGATAAGAATTGATAAAAAAAAAAAAAAATTTCAATGTGAACAACAAAAAGAATGAAACCAGGAGAAAATGAAATCCCATCTATGGACCAATATACAAAGATATCTTAAAAACATCAATTACCGTAAGACATCAAGGTTTAAACACAAGAAAACCAGCATAACTTGTAACAGAAGCAGGGTAGGCAAGAGTCAGAGTGGAAAAGATTTTTAACCGTTTGGGGGGGTGGGAGGTATCATCATCAATCAATAGTACTTGCCCACAGTGGCCAGAACAGCAGTGAATACTGAAGTGAGGATGTCTCTCTCACTAAGGGCTCCAAATATGGTGGTAGAACATGAGCTCTAGAAAGAGTTGTAGGTGTAAGCTTCCAGTCACAAACTGATTAACCCAAGTCATGAACAAGGACTGAGGAGAGCCAGCTTAATGAATGAAAGCCCTTCCCGTGTAAGTGTAGTAACCTAAGGTCAGCCCCTGGGACCCACAGTAGGAGAGAGCAAATGTCCAAGCCATCAACTGGAGGAGCTGACATCACAAGTAAGAAGTAAGCAGAAAGTTTGACTCTAAAGAACATGGGATTTGGAAAAAGAAAACTAGCCAGAAGGAAACAGGAGTCAGAAAAATATTCAAGGTGAACCAGAGAAGAAAGCTGTGATCAAGGAAGGACTGACAGTCGCAGGCTCCAGAAGACCCTGTCTCAATACCAAACAACAACAACAGAACAGCTCTTTAGACTAGAGACATGGCTCAGTGGTTAAGAGTTGTGACTTCTCTTCCAGAGGACCATGATTTGATTTCCAGCCCACACATGGTAGCTCACAACCATCCACAACTCCAGTTCAGGGCATCTGACACCTTCTTCAGGCTTCTATGGGACCTACATAAAATAGTACACAGACACACATGCAAGCAAAGAACTCATAACACATAAAATAACAAAAATTAGAAAGAAAGAAAGAAAGAAAGAAAGAAAGAGAGAGAGAGAGAGAGAGAGAGAGAGAGAGAGAGAGAGAAAGAGGGAGGGAGGGAGGGAGGGAGGGAGAAAGAACTCTTTGAAGGCTAGAGAAATTGTTCAACAATTAAGGGTGTTTGCTGGCTGCTCTTGCAGAGGACCCAGGTTTGGTTCCCAGAACCCAGTGGCAGCTCATGAGCACCTCTCCTGTTCCAGGGATCCAATGCCTTCTTCTGACCTTCTCAGGCTCCTGCACCCATGTGGAGGTACACACACATATAAAATAAGTAAGTCTTTTTTTGTTGTTTTTGCTTTCCAATCAGCGTTTCTCTGTGTAGCCCTGGCTGTTCTCTGCAGACCAGGCTGGCCTCGAACTTACAGAGATCCACCTGCCTCTGCCTCCCACATGCTGGAATTAAAAGTATGAGCCACCACTGCCTAGCTTTTTTTTTCCTTTTTAATGATAACTCACAACACCCTAGAACTCCAGTTCGAGAAGATCCATGCCTTCTGCTGGCCTCCACTGGCACTGCAGTCATGTGGTACACAGACACTCAGTCGCACATGTGCACACATACCTGAGCACATGCTCACACACACAAAATAAAAAAGGAATAAAATGGAAACAATAATAAATACGAGCAGCTTTTAAAGAAAACTTCATTACCTTTTCGTTCAAAGCTCTCTTCCCTAAGAATGCAAACCAGTGCCAAAAATTTAGTGACTTCCTTTAAATAAAGGACAGTTGTATTATTCAGCTTGATAATGGCCATCGATTCTTTGTCATAAGCACTTCCACTTCCATCTTCCTTTAATCTATTTTAAAAGAAAGCACCATTTATTACAAGTTTCTCAACTTGGCATTTTGTACAGGAGCACACCTTTCCACCCTGATCCCCAAACATCTTCTGAGAAGGAATAATACTGCCTGAAATATACTGGGACAGTCATCATTTAGGGTAAGACTCACAAAGAACACAATCCAGGAGCTTCTGTTAACAGTAAAGCTCTGCATGTCTACTACTGTAACCAACCACTGAGAGACAAAGGTAACAATGATGTAGCTCTGAACCACAGACACTGCCAACGTCATGCTGGCCAGGCCACTCACCTGCCCAGACTGTGCTCTGAGGGCCGACTCTCCCCACTTCCCTCGAGCTACATGACCAGTCTCAGCCAGCTACTGCGGGGTATATTCTACATGCCAAACTAACTACACTTTTCTCAGATACCTTTTGTTCTTTCCTTATAAATAAATGAATGAATGGAATAAAGAAAATTCATAAAAATCTATCCAAGATCAATCCCAGCCAGAGAAAGATAGGAACTATGATAAAAATCAGCAACTTTTAAAGAGTTTGAGTACTGACAAGGTAGCTTGTCAGGTAAAGGAGTTGACTCCCCAAGTTGAGACATAGCAATGACTCTCACAAGTTGTTCTCTAACTTCTGCATGTGGTACCATAGCATGCCAAGGACTGCACCTGCTAGGAATTAAGAGTTGCCAAAACTGCCTCTTTAGTAGAGATGTTTGGGGGCTGAGAAGATGGACCACTGGCTAAAAAGCATTTACTGCTCCTCTAGAGGATCCACACTTGGTTCCCTGCACACATTAAGACAGCTCAGAACTCTGTCATCCCAATTTCATAAATCTGCTATGCTCTCGACCTCCGAGGGCTTACATATACACAGTGCACATAAACTCATGCAGGCACACAGACACATATTCATAACACACAAAATAAATCTTAAAGAAGTATTTGCCTTCCAAATCAAGGTGAAAGACACAAGCACTCAAGAGTCTGAGGGATGGGAATGGACAGCCTGGCCTAAAGTGAGACTGTCTTAAAGACAGAGAAAAAGTATTTTTAAAAAAACTGCTTAAAGAAAAAAGTACACTTGGGAGGCAGAGGCAGGTGGATTTCTGATTTCGAGGCTAGCCTGGTCTACAGAGTGAGTTCCAGGACAGACAGGACTACACAGAGAAACCCTGTCTCGAAAAACAAACAAACAAAAAAAAAAAAAGAAAGAAAGAAAGAAAGAAAAAAGTAAAGGAAACATACTAAGAAGGAAATGCTACAATAGGCATCTGGTAAAAAACAGTGTTCCCTCCTGCTTTGTCTTTACCATCTCATGTATGATTTTCATGACAGAGAGCTTATTTTTTAAACAGCCCTAAATCTTACAGCTTACCTTTTCATATATTAATTTGATCATTACAACAAGCCAGAGAATTGTTACTATTAACCTGTTTAACTACTTAACTTTGGGGGATATGAAGGCAAGAGAGTAAAACATAGTAATCTATATACGAATAAGAGAATTATGCCAATTTTTTTTTAAAGATTTATTTATTTATTTATTTATTTTATGTGAAGAGAGCATTGGATCCAATTACAGATGGTTGTGAGCCACCATGTGGTTGCTGGGAATTGAACTCATGACCTACTGGAAGAGCAGCTAGTGCTCTTAACCCCTGAGCCATCTCTCCAGCCCCTAAAGGAAAGGTGTTTTGTTTTTCTTTTTTTTTCTTTTTTTCGAGACAGGGTTTCTCTGTGTGGCTCTGGCTGTCCTGGAACTCACTCGGTAAACCAGGCTGGCCTCGAACTCAGAAATCCGCCTGCCTCTGAATTATGCCAATTTTAAAGGCATAAAACTCTAACTTATAAAAAGTAAAAAGATGTCTGGCAAGATGTGGACTCAAACCCTCAAACTAGGGTTTTAACTCAATCCCAAGCAGTTTTCAATATCATAGCAGTAGGGAAGAGTAAACCATATGCTTTAAGAGTATAAAAGAAAACAGCTTCCTCCTGATGGAAGAAGAGGAAATGCAAGTGCTCTGAGCTGTCTGTCAGCTGATAGCCAGAGGTCAAGGAGATCCTATTCTATGCCACACAGGAAGTGAGAGCAGGCACCAGCTGACAAGTAACACAGATGTATATGAACTTCTACGGCTGGACCCACAGCCAGCAGCTGTAAACAGCTGCAGTTTCTAGTGTTGAGCTACATGATCTCAAGTCATATACTAACATGAGACATGAGAATACCATGTCATGCAAGCTTGATGAGCAGAGTTCAACCCCCAGAACCTACATAAAAGTAAAAGCAAGAAGTGAAAAAAATTTGTCCTTTGGCCTCCATATGTATACATGGTACTCACAGCCCCTGTACACTCATACACTCGTACACACACGCACACACACGCACACACTCACTCCCTCCATTCTTCTCCCTCTCTTATACACATACACACACAAAACACACATTTTTAATTAAAAAAAAACGTTAAAGGCACATTCTTGGCTAGGGACACAGCTCTGTTAAACACTTGCTTTTAGCAAATGCAAGACTATAAGGGGCAGAAAGAACAAGAGAGACATCTCGATAGCTATTCATGCATGGAGATAAGACAGATTTTGATGGTTAATAAAGTTAAGAAATAAAATATACTAATGACTGTAAAAATTGGACTCGGGTTTTTTGTTTGTTTTGTTTTGGGTCAAAACTCTTTATGCAAGATTTTAAGGTGCTTGAATTGGGGGTGTAGCTGGCTCCATCCCAGGACCATATATAAAACTGAGTGTGGTGAGATATCCGTAATCATATATCAAATTTAAGGCTAACCTGGACTACTTGAGACCCTCATTAAAAAAAAAAAAAAAAAACAAACAAACTCCAAAGCAAGTATCTTTATCTAACTTTTATCTAACCTTTAGTCAAAATAAAGCCAAGCAAAAGCAAGAAGGTCATAGCCAAGAGGAAACAGTCAGAAGCAACATGCCCTAAATGGATTCAGGTGAAAGGGAAGGGAACCTGGTTACTGCTGAAATTCTCAAAGAAAACCTTGTAGCAGATACCCTCAGATAAAGCACATACCAAACACCAACCAGATACACTAGTCCTATGACGGGGCAATATCCTGCACATTCCCTCATCCCCACTTTCATGCTGATGTGGGATTCATGGAACACAGCAACTTCAAACCTTCCCTCATATTTATCTGTATTGACTTAGCCTACAAATGAAAGATCTACAATAAACAAACTGATACTAGTTTTGTTTTTTTTTTAAAGGTACAAAAACCAAGTGACAGAGCCAGAGAGAGGTCTCAGCTTATAAACCACTGGCTGCAAAGCCTGACATCACAGCTGCAGGATGCACTTGCAAAGATGGAGATAGGAGGCTCAGCACAGCAGGGCCAGTGAGCCTGGAGTCCAGACAAGAAACAAGTGAGACTGTCTCAACAAGGCAGAGGTGAGAACACAGTCCTGAAAGTTGTCTGATCTTCACATGAGCACCATGGAGGATAAACACACAAAATAAATGACAGTTTGAAAAATGTGAAACTGGCTTATAAACTTTTAATTAGCTTTTTCCTTTCTTTAAAGCAATGTGTTCTATTGACCTACTTTTAAGAACAGAAAACCCAAGAGTTTATTGAGGAACAGATCATCTCATTTTTCTACAGGAGATAGTACAACAAAGTACAGAAGTAATCACTGAGAGCAAACAGAAATAGACAAGACAAAGTAAGGTAAGGTATTCTACTCACAGGGAGCTGAAGGAGGGCACTGACAGAGCAGGCACACAGACAGAGGGGGCGGGGGCGGTAGGAAGCACACAGGCTAAAAGCACCCTGGGTATTCTGGTCTTGATACATGGAAGGATGAGGACTAGGCAAGAGGTTACAGAAAGTGTTACTGGCCACAGAGTTTTCATTCTTCCTCTGGTCTAGTCTACAAAATCTTTTGGGTTTTGGTATTTTATAAATTTCTACATAGTTTAAGGAATGTTCATATGGTAAGATCCTATATTTGAGAGACTTACTGCAGAAACTCATGTATTTGTCAAATATTTTATGTGTAATCTTTCTAATAACTAAAATTCTGATTGTTTGAGACAGGGTCTCATTATAACAGGGTCTCATTAATGATGTAACTCTGGCTGTCCTGGAACTCTGACTACCTTTGCCTCTCAATAATTTGGATTATCCATCATACCCCAATTAAAAATTCTGATTTTTTTTTTTTTAATTACACTGCAAGATCAAGAATCCCTCATTTGGGCTGAAGAGATAGCTCAATGGTTAAGAGCACTGGCTGCTCTTCCAGAGGAGGTGGGTTTAATTCCTAGTACCCACATAGCAGTTCATACCTGCCTGAAAACCCCAGATCAAGAGATATGACACCTGAGCTCACACAGACATTCACAGAGAGAAAATACCAAAGAACATAAAATAAAAATAAATCATCACTATTTTTAAAAAAAGCAACAACAACAACAACAACAAAAAGAATCCCCCATTCTACCAGCTGTGGGGCACACACCTTTAGTCCTAGCACTCAGAAGGTAGAGGTAGGAGAATCTCTATTAGTCAAGGCCAGCCAGGTCTTCATAGAGAGCCAGCCAAGACTACATAATAAAACCCAAATAAATAAAAAAACAAAAAGTCCCTCATTCCATGAAAATGCCTCATTCAATTAGGCAGTAGCATTTACTCAGACATTTTTAGTGTGCCTTACTTATTGTTGTTTGATTAGACTGGGCATGATTTCTGACCCTCCTACTACGTGCTGAGATTCTATAGATGAGCAACCTCACCTGGCTGTTCAGACCATCTTGGAAACAGTTTGAGACATGGTATCATTTTGTAGCCTGGATAGCCTGGAACTCACTATGTAGATTAGGCTGGCCTTAAGCTCAGAGATCTGTGCCTTTGCCTCCACACTGGTCCCCAGATCATTTTAAATAAATTAATCTAGTTAGGTTCTTTTGTTTAAACCTTGCCAAGTCCCATGAGACAGAAGATAATATAAACTCTTCCAAGTACAGAAAGAAAGACTTTCCAAGTGTTCTCTGCTATCCTGTCTGAAGGTCCAGCTCACAGAGATAATCATGTTCTAAGGTGACACACATGATCTAAACAGTCCCACTTCGGGCTGGTAACAAGGCTGAGAGAATAAGGGCACTTGTTACCAAGCCTGACCTGAGTAATGGTCCAGACCCACACAGTGGAAGAATTGACTCCCAAAAGCTGTCCTCTGACCACAGAGGTGGAATGGCATGCACACCCACACACTTGTACTCACATGCACAGCAGTACACAAACGTAATTTCAAAAATAAGAAAAGATTTTCAGCCGGGTGGAGGTGGCGCACACCTTTAATCCCAGCACTTGGGAGGCAGAGGCAGAGGCAGGCGGATTTCTGAGTTCGAAAGTTCAAGGCTAGCCTGGTCTACAGAGTGAGTTCCAGGACAGGGCTACACAGAGAAACCCTGTCTTGAAAAACCAAAAAAAAAAAAAAAAAGAGAGAGAGAAAGAAAAACCAAAAACAAAAAAAAAAAAAAAAAGATTCTCATTTCATTCAGTAAAAGCCAGAGGTAAGAATTAGAATTAGGTAAGTTTTCCACCTGTCTAGGATCTTGCAGAAATATATAAGCACTTACCCATATATACAAGACACATCAATTACAACATCAATCATGTCACAGCAAAGTTCGTAAGACTGCATATCCACAGGGGAGCTGTCTGTTGCAATGTAGATTTTGCTGACAACATCAAAGAGAAAAGCTTTTTCAATACCTGAATTCTTGGGAAAAACAAAATTGGGTAAGTGTTTCTTTTAGGAATCACAATTTACAATTTTTCAAAGACCTTAAATTACTGAAAAACAATCTTAATTTTGGAAGTAATTTTCCTATGGTTTGTTTTTATTTTTTTATAGTTCTGGGATACTGAATGCAGGGTTCAATAAATACTTTACCACTGAACTTGACCCCCAACTCTTCGTATCACTTTTAAGTATGCAATTAGACCCCCAAAATAAAAAATGCTTCGTTGGGGGACTTTAGATAGGGCCTTACTAGGTAGTCTTAGGATGAGGATGACTTAATTTGCAATCCTTCTGTCTCTTCTTCTTATGTGATAGAATTACATGTGTGTACCACCACTTTGCAAGATTTATTATTACTTGTGTGTGTGTGTGTGTGTGTGTGTGTGTGTGTGTGTGTTGATAAAAACTGGTTCTAAGGCCTTTCATATGCTAAGCAGTACTCTACCCAACCTTCATGAAGATGCTTATAATTAAGGAAGTTTGGGGAACTTTACCTAAAACACACACACACAATCAGAATACAACATCTCAAGCTACACTTTATGCTCTTTATCTTTCATGTTGAATCACTGATCTTTAGTTGAAGTCTTCCTTTTGGGAGAATTAAATACAAACACATTTAACAACAGCAGAATTAGAAATTAAATCAAAGTAAATAATTTACTTACTGATATAAAGATATTTAATAGGTTTTCCAAAGTGGGCAGTTGTGGAATGAGTTTCTGTACCACCTTACTGAAGGCTTCAAATATTGAATGGTCATAGATGCTAGTCAAATAAAAACTGAAAAAAATACAACACAGGATGGTTATTCATAAAAGAAGTTCAGTAACTACTCTCATTATCTCTTAAATTTCAAAGTTCTTAACATTCAGATGTATCCTGTCTACTACCCACATCATTTCTGATTGTAAGACCATTGCCCAGTCCGGTTGTGCATTTGCTATATTATATAAGAGGGCAACTGAGGGAGCATCCAGGAAGGCTCTTCAAGAGAGAAACACAAAGGGTAACATAGGCAAACTACCCTTTAAAGCTTACTTCCCAAGCACAAAACTGAGAAAAAAAAGTCAAGATCAAAATTCAAGGTAGACACATGGTCATTTGTTTTATTTTGGGTTTCTTTTTAGACACAGTAGTATGGAGCCCAGCCTGGCCTCAAACTCACTATAGAGTGGAGGATGACCCTGAATTTCTAATCCTCAAGTTTCCACTCCCCTGAGTAAAGCTAGGATTACAGGATTTTGTCACCACACTCAGCAGAGTAATATGGAATTTATGAAATGTTATTCACATTCTACTAAAATGCCACCCCAAAAAGTCCTTTCCTGCCAGTCACAGTGGTGTAAACATTTAATTCCAGCACCTAGAAAGAGGCAGGTGAATCCTGTGAGTTTGAGGCCAGCCTGGTCTACATAGGAGAGCTCCAGGGCTATATAGTGAGGCTCTGTTCCTTCCTGATCATCTATGTAAACAGTAAATGTGTACCTGCTACCCTTCTGCCATTTTGTTCTTCACAGTATTGGTAAGTACTTAAAATTCCACCACACATTTCTTATGAGCTGTGTCCTCCTCAATTGTAAGCCCCAGGAGGAAAACAGCTTTGTCATCTCCCTCACAACTGCAAGCCCACTGCCTTCAACTGTGTTCATGAGAGTTTACTGAGTAAAAAGTTTAGTCACATACTACACCCGACACCCAACACCCTAACCCCTTGACCTCTTCTGAATAAATAACTATGCAGGTGAGTAGGATTAGGCAATTAGCCTGAGGATGAAGACATATAAAGAGCAGGAGTTGATCTCTAAATGGATTACAGTGAAATCAAATGTAGATTTAACAAAACACACATTTTAGAAAGGGGATCCTTAAATACTGTGGACAATTCTATATGCTTTTTTCATTGAGGACATTTTTCTCATCATTTAGTTGTATCCATGATATATTTTATGTACAAATTACCACATCAGAAATTAGAAACTGTGTTTATACTTTACAGGTGATTTTAAGAAAATTTCAAGGAAGTGAATTAAGAACCTAATCAAGTAGGAGCTCTATTCTAGAGGTGAGGGTATCATGGCAGGTAAGGCTACATGACTCCTGACACTAGCAAGGAAGGGACATTTCAGTGTTTCCTTTAGGCAAAAACTTCAGCAAGGTTAGGGTCTTCAGGACTGGAGATGAATGGGGACAGACAGAACCCCCAAGGCGCAGAGCATGTTCCTAAGCCGAGTTCCTGCACCTCACCATGCTGGTACTAAAGAGAGGTTGGGATGTGCTGGGGGTAGCTCAAGGGTAGAATGCTTGCAGAGACTAAAAGGTCCTGGTTCAATCCTCAATGAACATACGTAGTAAAAGCTTGATGCAAACCTCTACTGAGGGTAGCAAGCTTAGTTTAGGGCCTTTCTGAGTATAGGGAAACCATGAAATGTCCTGAAGTGCTCAACAAACAGGGAATTAGAAAATCATAATGGGCCGGGCGGTGGTGGCGCATGCCTTTAATCCCAGCACTTGGGAGGCAGAGGCAGGCGGATTTCTGAGTTCGAGGCCAGCCTGGTCTACAAAGTGAGTTCCAGAACAGCCAGGGCTACACAGAGAAACCCTGTCTCAAAAAACCAAACCAAAAAAAAAAAAAAAAAAAGAAAAAGAAAATCATAATGGTTCCTCACCAGTACAAGGAAGCATGTTTAAAAACTGTGGCAAAAAATATTAACAGATCCTTAAGATTGAGGGATTTTATGGGATGGTACTTTTACTTTCTCTTATAAACATTTATTTACTTCTGTTTTTTAAGACAGGATCTTACTAAGTAGCCTTGGTTAGGTAACTTCAAATTTACAACTACCCTCCTGACTGCCTCCTGAGTGCTAGTATTACTAAAGTACCACATACCATGTACAACTCTTATAATGATTCAACTTTCTCAAGTTTTTTTTAAAACATGAACTATTCGTGTTTTAAAATTTTAATCCAAGAGGATCAATGAGATTTCCCATACAATGTTTTCTAGAAACTATCTGAAAAATTCTACAGCCCGGGAAACCTTAGGGATCGGACAACTGACTTTAAGTATAAAAGGAAGTTTTTGTAACAGACCAAGGGTAAGGAAATTACATGCACATCTCTTCTCTGCTTCCCCTTTGAGCTGTTTTTATGATCAAATGACATCCTCTTAGTACTTATAAAAACTCATTTCTTCCTATTATCACAAAAGATATACAATAACATTCCTCATATACTTTTAGAATACAAATACACAAAACACATAACTATCAATCCAAATCAGTATGTGTTCTTTAAGGTAAGTTAATATTTAACTGTAAACCAGCAGTCCTTCAAACTCAACAGCAACGCTATGTAAATGCAGAAGGCAAATCTAACTTCAGAGTTTCTAAGAAGTATAAACTCTTAAAAGCTAAGATATATTAGAGTTAGTCCAGAGTTTAAAGTATACACCTTTAAGACCTATACTCAACTTTCACAAAAAAAAAAAAAAAAAAAAAAAGGCAGATTTCTTACACAAAGCCAATAGGGGTTAAAAAGTGAAGAAACCCAGAGAGGAAAAGTCTGAAAGCAGACTCATACCATGAAGAAACAGTCCCTTGAGAGGAGTGTGCAAGAACGCCAATGGAAACACTTCACATGACTTCAATCATCAAGAAAATGAAAAAGGGGAAAAGTAACTCTCAGTAATACAAGGCTTACAAAACAGCTTAGCTGTCAACAAAGAAGAGATCAAAACTCTGAAAGAACTTAGAAAAGCATGGCATCAGAGATCTGGGTGTGTGAGGACAGATGGAATACACTTAGGGCTCTCATATCAAACACTCATGTTGTTACCTAAGATGGAGCTTTTCCAGCCCAGCATCTGCAAGGTCATCATTGGCCCTTTGATGAATGTCCCTCTGTGTTTCTATTTTGTGATCATCAGACAGACCATCAACTTTGTGAATAAAAACCTCAAAATTCATGTCTGGGTTAACTTTGTAGGCCTTAGAAACAGTGATGTGAAGTCGAGTTAGAGCCTCCATGTAGTCATCCTGAAAGTCAGAACAAGATGTTTTTAACAAGAAATCTTATAAAACACAAGTAACAAGTTAAGAAAGCTTCAAACCACCTCTTTCCCCAACCACAGAAAATAGTTATTTTAATTATTCATAAATATTCAGATATACTGACATATAACTAGTAAATAGTTCTTCAGTCTCTTAACACAGAAAATCAAAGACCAATGCCTGAATTTTAAATTTTACTATTAAGGAAAAAAAGCCAAAATGCACATTCCTTCCTAAAAGAACTGTTAAAGTAATCCCAGCTCTGCTATTTATCAGGTGTGTGGCTCGAAGCAAGTTGCTTAAAGCTTGATCTTGAGTCAAGTATCTGTAAATGGGAATAACTACCCACACAATACTCTGGAGAGCAAATCAGACTGTGTACGGGAAAGCACTCACTACCAAGTTGGCACCATTCAGAGAGCTTTCCTAATGCTTCGGCTTACAAAGGTAAGCTAGAGGCTGGGACAGAGGCCATCCATCTGACTACCTACCACACAGTGGGGCCTCACTGTCTTTCTAGATTACATTCAACAAACAAATCAGGAAAGGTATAATGGACTCATTTCTCATGTCCTTCCTGATATTGTGGCCATCGGTGGGATACCTCAACGGGTAGGGTGACCATTATAATAGTTAATAAAGTACAGCAATATCTACCATTAATCAATAAAACTAGAAAGCCGATGGTAAGTGTCCATTAACTGGGACACAAGAAGTGTAAATGGCCTCTCCTAAACATCTGAGAGTCTGGAATCAGGTGCAGACAGTAGAAGGAGATCTACTGGAAAGAGTAGCTTCAAGCACATGACAAAAGAGACAGACAGACAAATTTCCTCTGTTTCTCCATCTTTTTGCCACCAGAGAGGAGTACACACTACGGTGCCTAACTACCTGTGCATCGATGACATATATCAGTGCTCCTGTGCCCCTGAAGATCATTTCGTAGTCAAAGGTTGGGTCGAAGAAGTCCATCTGCCCAGGAAAATCCCAAATCTGGAAGTTCACAAAGGAGCTGTTGGAAATGTCGTCTTTATAAATCTTGTTGGTACTTTCCAAAAAGAGAGTCTCATTGGGTGACATCTTATGAAACACCACCTGTGAGGAGAAACAGAGACAACTTCGAGACTATTTAACTACACAAGTTGTATTAGAAATCCCATGGCACCAACATTACAATTGCGATCAAAGATTTAAACTTGTCAAGACCTGCTTTGAGATCATGAAACTATTCTAGGTAATGTTTGAGACTTTGTGTTCATTCAAAGATAACACAAATGCCTACCTCAGGCTCTTAGGAACAATAAGGAAAAGACTATAGAGTGAATCCTGAGTAAGTAAAACTGTCCAGAGTGAGAAGTAGGGAGGCCTGTGGGAGGAGGGAAGAGGCAGCTCCTTGAGACAAGAACTGGTAAAGACAATAAATTGCCAATCATCACAGCAGGAGCCAGAGGTGTAAATCACTGCCTGGCTATCATGCATAACACCCTGGCTTCCAGCACCTGCACCAAGTAAAGCCAACCTGATAGCTCACACCTGAAATCTCAGCACTTAAGGAGGTAGACTCAGGATCAGAAGTCAGCCTTAGCGACAAATTGAGTTCTAGGCCAGCCTGGGATACAGGAAACAAAACAAAACAAAAACAAAAACAACAGCTGGGCTGGACATGTAGCTTTTAAGGCTTGCTTGATACAATCCTAACATACAGCAAACTTGTCTCTCAGTGTTAACTTGGAAGAGAGAAAAAGCCCTCACAAGTTTGCTTACCTAGCCTAAGCACTCCCCGCAAAAGTCTAACTTTGACACAGACATGAGAAAACAAAACAGTAGACCAGCAAGTGCAGGAGGTGGGGGGGGGGCAGCACTGTTGCCTTTTAAAAACACCACCTCTACAAAATACCAGATATTTCTTTTTGGATAGACCTTTGCTTCAGAGTGAAAATGGGGAAAGCCTGATTGTCTGTGACCCTAGTTTTACTAGAAGTTTGCTCTGTTTGTAATGTGGATGGCTGACTGAAAGAAGTTAATCCTGACTCTATTTCCCTATTCACTCAAAATAAAAAGCCCTAGGCATTCTATTCGTTCAAGACAGACCCAAGTGAAAACAAATACACTGATGTCTGTCTGCCTGTAAAACAATCTCCAAAGATAGTTGTGACAGGGGACTGTCACCAGTAACTGCAAACACAGGGCTACAAGTTCTAAATAAAGTAGATGCAGTGATAGGACACCTCCCCCCCAAAAAAATAAATGTTACAGAAGTCTCCAACAGACTGACAACAAAATACTGAGATACCCAGTGTCTTTGCCACAACACTTTCTAGCGCCGCTAAGTTCCGGAGCTTGGGAGGGGATCCCTGAAAACTCCAGTCACTCAAGAGAGATGCGGCGGGACAGCACGCTCACCAAGTTCTCCACGTGAGAACCGGGGACGACGGGTCGGTTTCGTCAACGCCACAAGGGCAGCTACCAGAAGGGAGGAGTTCTAGGGCGGTGACCGGCACCTGCCTCCTCCCTCCAGCCAGCGTCGCCTCCTTGCTCCGCTCGGCCCTCGGCCGAGGAAGTCGAACGTGGAGGCCCAGGTCGGGGACCATGGGCGAACTGCGCCCAGGCTCCGCGCTCACAGGTGTGGACAGTGCCCCGGGACGCAGCGCCAGGCCGCCACCCTCTCGGGCCTCCGGGGCAGCCGCCACCTGAGCACCGAGGGCCGAGCAAGACCAAGGGCAGCAGGCCCGGTACGGGGTGCTCACCTTCTGAATGGAGGACTTGCCGCTGCGCCGTAGCCCCATAAGCAGGATCCTTGGCTTGGAGCTGTCAGCGCCGCCCGGGCCGCAGCCGCCGCCAGCCCCCGCGCCTCCGCCGCCACCCGCCGCCGCCTCCTCTTCCTCCTCCTCCACGCCGTAGCCGAAGTCCTTGGGGAACGAGTCAGCTGCACCGTAACTGCCGGCCAGGGGCGTCTCCTCCGCCCCGTACTGCAGGGACATGGTGCTGGACCACCGCTGCCCGCGCCCTGACAGGCCAGGCCAGGTTAGGCCGCCGCCTCCTTAGGCCGCCTCCGTTGCCGCCGCCCCCGGCAGCAGCCGCCGAAGGGCCCGCCCCCGAACCCAGCTCCGATTGGACTGCCACCAAGCTTCGGCTTCTTATTGGCTGGGCTGGCTGCCACTCCGGGGCAGCAGGGTAAGTGGTACGTATCACGTGCCCGGAATCACCTGACTAGCAGTGGCTGAAGTTGGGGGGGGGGGGAGGAGTCACGAGGAGAACGGCCCGGCCGCGCCTCTCGTCGGACTCCGGGCCTTCGCCCTGGGGACAGCCCGCACGCACCTCGGCCTTCCAAGCGCGCGCTGGGCTGCTCCCCGCTCCCCGCCTCCTTTCGGGCTCCGAGAGCGCCTCAGGGAAGATGCTTCTAGGCGTCTGGGTAAGAATTCATTGTGCCCCCAACCCCCACCTCCTCTGGTTGCAGCTGTCCTGCTGGTATTTAGTGATGCTTGCCAGGTCCTGGGTACTAGGAAAGCACTGGAAACTAAGATTGAATTGCCCCTCCCTGCCCTCAAGTTGCTTGAAGGTTAACTGAGATTCGACCTCTGTGTAAGTTGACTCAGTACAGATTTTATGTGAAAAGGCCATGAGGACAGATGAATTGCTCTGGAATTGGGTGAGGAAGTCCACAGGAGGTCGTGTGTGAGCCGGTCCAGACCTATATATATGTGCGAAAGGCACTTAGTTATGAGTCTCCGTGATAACTTGCCCATGTAGCCGGATAAGGAAAATAGATACAAACATGCTAAAACATCTTATTCTGCAAGCAGATCGCTGATAGGATACTGCTGTCCTTATAGTCCATGGACTCCATCTTCTTCGCTCCCACCTAGACAAGGTACTCCTCCAGTATCCCATCCAGCAACTGAGTACTTGACTTCTTGTGATTAGAGACTAGAGAAATTAGGAATGATGAAGGCAAATGCTTACTGCCAAAGTATGCTTCAAAAAGCTGTAAGAGAATTTTCACATCTCAGACTCCAGAAGTGGAAATTTGACAGCCCTTAAAGTACAGCCCTGTACACTTAAAAGGAGTTGGGGTAGGGGTTCTGGTTTTACAAGGTAACTATGTTGTTTGAAGGGCTCAGGATGAAATTGGGGTCTTTTGCGAATGCTAGGCAAATTCTACATGTAACCTCATCAGATAAGTTGATTTGATTGTAGAAAGAAGAGGAAGCTCTAGTAGATCTGGCATTTTAGTTCTACCTGATCCTCAAAGTTAAAGGCAGGTCAACACAACCTCACCCAAAAAATACCAACTCCATGGTGCCTAATAGATAGGCAGAATGCACTTAAATGTACATGTCTCTCAGTATCAATGGGAGACTGCTTTCAGGACACCTTTAATCCCATTAACCGACTGGAAGACAGTCAAATTCCTAATATACGCTGTTTGCATGTGAACCTCTGCACACTCCATGTACTCTATATCATCTCTGCATTAATTATAACCAGTACAACGAAAAATGAAATGGTGTCTTTGCCAGGCTTGATGGCACACATCTGTAAATCTCACTACTTCAGAGGCAGGTGTAGGATTCCCCAAAAAATGTTCTAAGTCAGCCTTCTCTACACATCCTTGATAGAATAACCTAGAAACCCCTTTTTTAAAGAATGGGATGTGTGATGCACTACACTGTATAAGTGTAAAAATAAAGTCTATACATGCTCAGTACAGTTCCCTGAAAATATTTCCAATCCAGATGGCCTAATCTATGGATTCAGAAAACCAACCACTATGCCAGGGGAAATCAAATTTAACAGTAGCTTTGATAAAAGTTTTAACAATTTTTGGGTGGAATATATGAGTAGAGGTCATAGGACAACCACAGATATCTTAAACTTTGACCTTGGTTTTTTGAAGTGTTTCTTTTGTGTTTAGCACTGCACATGCAAAGCTAGCCAGCCTGTACATTTCTGGGCCAACTTCTGCCCACCTCCCATCTCACAATGGGAACACTGGGATGACTGACAGAAATATGTTCAACATCATGTGAGTTTTGGGGATTCAAACTCAAGACCTCACATTTATCTGAGAAGTGCTTCCCATTGAGCCATCTTCAAAGCTCTGTTCTGTTTTAAATTTTATTCTGTGCTCAAGAGATGTCTCAGTGGTTAAAAGCACTTGGTGCTCTTGGAGAGGACCCACATTCAGTCCCAGCACCCATATGATGATGGCTCAAAACCATCAAGTGTCAGGGGATCCACTGCCCTCTTCTGGCCTCTAAGGATGCCAGGCACACAGGTAGTACTCATAAATACATGCAGGCAAAACACTCATACACATAAAATAAAAATAAATAATTTTTATAAAGTTTCTTATTCAAGGGTTGGGGATACAGCTCAGTTGGTAGAATGCTTGCCTAGTTTTCATGAACCCCTAGGTTCCATCTGCAGCACTGCCTAACTCCAGGCCTGGTAGCACTTGCCTGTTATCACAGCACCAAGGAATCGAAAGCAAGACCAGAAGTTCAAGGTTATTCCCTGCTATAATATCAGTCAGTCTCAAAATAAAGCTTCAAGCCAATAGTCAAACTCTTCAAAGCTTAAAGTGGAATAAAATTAGTCACTTCTTTTTAACAGTCCTTCTACTACTACAGTCTTTATTACACACCAAGTCTCTCAACCTGATAGAACAGTGAGTTCCAGGCCCCAAAAAGTCTTCTCAGTTCCCTGTTATCTTCAGTTGCTTCGTTCATTCCTTCTACAGTACTGTTCTATAAGACTTTGAGGTCTTGTGTTTATACTGTTCAGGAGAGTACCTGCTGGCCACATGTGCACTGAATGCTAGAAGTGCTGGTGGTGTGACTGAGGAACTGAATTTTGTAGCTGCTGACAACCACACTGAACAACTGAGCCATGCTTTCACATCCCTTCTCCCTATTGATCATTCTTCCTTAAAAGGCATTCATGCTTGTCAGCATCCCTCAGATGCTTGGTACCTACAGAGTAACAATAGGACTTTTAGAAAGACTTTTTAGTTAGTACCTGGACAATATTTCTGTTCTCCAAAATGGATTTTTAAGCTTCCTTGGAGTATAAATGGTTCACATTAGAGATCACTAGAACTAGTATTTTATCAGAAACCCTACTCACTTTGTGTAACTATATACTTTACTCACTATAGGACCTGATATTTATTTGTACCCAGCAGTATAGGTACTCCAGATTTTAATGTTCAAACCTGTTCCAAAGTAGTCTACAACCAACCTTTCCAATGCTACGGTACTTACAGATGTGGCAGTACTACTGACTGATCTGCAGGTAGTTCTTTACAGTTTGCAAGGCACTTTCATATCCAATGTATTTAATCTGATCCTGACATCAACCTTGTAAGGTAGGCAAGATGTAAAGACACATACATACACAAATACACACATATCTTTTTTGGGGTGATTACTGAGACAGTCTTACATAGCCAAGGATGGCCTCTAACTTACTATGTAGTCAGAGATGACTCTAAAACTCCTGACCCTCTTGCCTTCAAGTGCTAGGATTATAGGCATGGACCATCACGTTTGGTCGTAACTTTTTAATTTTATATGTATTATGTACATGCAGGTATGCACATATGGAAGGACGAAAGACAGCTCTCAGGAGATGATTCTCCTGCCACCTTGTGGGATTCAGGGACTGAACTAAATTCTTCAGACCTGCACCCAAGCACATTTACCCATGAGCCAAGTGTATAGCCCCTAATTTGTATTTTATAGATGAAGCAGCTGAAGTGTAGCGGGAACTGAACTGATGGCTTACATTTCCTGTTTCATTTAGCATCGTCTTGTATACAGTCTTCATTCAAGTCCTTGATAGAAAGAATGTTGGAAGGGGGGTTCAATGGTGAAAAGCATGCACTGTTCCTAGAGAGGACCTGAATTTGGTGGCTAACCATGCCCAATGGCCTGATGAGAAAAAAAAGACTAGTAGCCAGAAAACAAAATATAGTTGTTGGTATCAACAAAATGATGGCCAAACAAAGTACCTGAAGAAGCTAAGTCCCCTCTCTACCAAATTCTCACGGGCTCTGTTTTGTTATTCCTACAATTCTTAGCTTATCCTAATCCACCTTGTAGTTGTTTGCATATGTATGTGTTGCATAATGAATTGATCTTTACCACACCAGCACCTAGCCCAGTGATATCCATCCAGAAGGCACCCAAATTGGTAAACAAAGAGAATCTGACCAGCTGAATGTTTTTTTCAGTAGTATCTGGCGACCCTCCAGAAACAAACTTGTGACTAGAAGAAATGCAGACCGTTGCCACAATCCTGCCAACATGACTGATTACAATGCCCTTGTAAATGGCTTGGTCAGAGTTTCCAGCAGGTGCCAGTACCTCGACTGGTTAAACCAGCTTTGATTGGATGTGTGCTGTGATCAAAATATAAAGACAAGCTGCCCAACAATAAGGATAGAAGGTGTGACATATAAGGGCTTATGCTGTCAGTGAAGAAAGCAAGTTATCAGCAACACATCTGACTGTGATTCCTCCCAGAGAAAAGGGAAAGGGCCAGATTGTAGTGGGGAATGCCTATAATCCCAGCATTTGGGAGTTGAAGGCAGGAATTAAAGGCCAGCCCTTGGTACATGAGACTGTCCCCTACCAAAAAGAAAGAAAAGGATTAACAAAACAAGTACTTTACCATTTACAAATCTTTCATATACATTCTCTCATTTGACCTCACAACAACCCTGTGAGGTAGGCAGCAAATGTTTTCATGGTACAGATGAGAATAGTGGATCTCCAAACCATTAACTGACCTAGCCAGGTTTCTACAGTTAGCAACAAATCTGTATGTCAGTCTTTGGCCTAAAAATTCAACACCCAACCTTCCCTTTATTTGCCCTACCTACTTCACAGGGATAATAAAGATAAAATGAATTCAAGGCTCAAAAACTATGTGTGAGGGGAAAGAAATCACTGTATAATTACATGCTATAATTATCTGTGAAATAATGGTTCATCCCCCTTTCCCATCCCAGTCTGTGTATGAACCCAGAATTTTATCTCTCTTCTGTGCTCAACTAAGGAAGGAAGGAAGGCAGGGTAAGAGTGTAGTTCTGTTGGAATCTATGTAAATTACAATCAAGGTAGCTGCAGCATTATACAAACTGAAAATGACACAGACTAATGTGCAACCAGAATGCACTAAAGCACACACAGCAAGGCAGCATTATCAGATGGGCATGATTGCATAGAAAGAAAACGTGGTGTCACAGTTCATACTGGCACACACAGTTATCTAAGGCAAAGTGGTGGCAAAGGAGAGTTGTTTGTTCTCTATTTCTATAAAAGAGCAGAAGATGCATGGGAACCCATGCAAAAACATTGTACACACAGATATGTCCAGCAGTCTACAGGAAATATACGCTGTCAAGAATGAGTGCGCCTACTATGCTCAAGTCCTGGACCAAGGAATAGCTCCATGCTCAATCTCCTAGCTAAAATACAACCAGTGCCGTCATTCCTAAGGGGATAATAAATAAATGTCTTTTAAGGTAAAAAGTTATGTGGCTCTTTAGATTTTCTTCAAGATCTACTTTGGATTCTCCTGCTTTAAGACCCAAAGAAAGTTATATTGAGTTTTTATTGGTGATTCTATGTATATGTGTTTATAACATTAAAGTGTGATGAGTGAATTTAACATATTAAAAGTTTATAGCATCTTTTCAGGAAAGACCATATACTATACAAGCTATTCAAGTGATACAAAACCAGTTTTCAGTGTCTTTTCAACTGAGAAGAATCCTATTCAGCACGCTTCTCCTCCTGAGGTGGTTCATACTGAACAAGCTATGGGGCAAAGACAGAGGATTTAGATGAATTTTATTTAAGTTGGGTAAAAAAACTTAGTAACACAATGAAATTAGATAATATATTCAACTTAGTTGAGTCAGTAATCAATTTCTGAACTTATTCTTCTTAAACCATTCACTTAAGATTGAGTACAATTAAACCTAACAAAAGCCTTTTTTGTAACAATTTTTAGCGTTGCTGGAGAACTAAACTTTAGCCTCAATTCATGACTGAACTGTTCAGTTACTACCTGATTCTATTGGTATGGTCAGCCAATGAAAAGTAACAAATGTCTGACTTTAAAAGTACCAGAAAGCTTTAAATCAGCACCAGGGAGGCAAAGACAAGGCTGGTCTCTGAGTCTAAAGCTATCCTGGTCTACATAGAAACTACCAACTATGTGTCTCAGCATCTTTGGTAATTTAAGACACTGCATTTTCTTTTATAGAAATTTGTGGTTCCTTAAAAGAACACTAGACTTCAGAAGATTTGACTTCTTTCAATTAGCTTCAGACTTGGAAATACATATTGTAGTTCAGACTGTGATAAACCTCAAAGACTGAGTTGATGCTCAAGTTTATGGAAATCTGAACAAAGTCAAATTTCAGCTCTAGATAAAATCGAGTGCAACTTACTTCTATCCTTTTGAGAACCTGGAGCTAGCATGCTTCAGACAGTGCAGACTGTGTCTTAAAGCAGTGGCCTAGACTGACCTAAACTGCTTAAGAACTTTAAGATTACCCATTTACTTTAAACAGTATTAGCCAGTCTCCCCATCATTTATTGATGCAGGTTCTCAAGTCCCTTTTCATGAATATACTTTGCCTATCCTACTTTTTCTTGGTCTTGGGACTTTTCTAGATGAGGCTTAAGTTTGCCATGGATTTGACTGAAACTGATATTGTCCCTCCCTGCTGCCCATTAGTCAAGTTTTGGGTTTAGTTGTTTACTCTTATTTTATCATGCTACAGATGCAACCCAGGACCTTTGCACATGCCAGTCAGATGCTCTACCAATGAGCTACACACATTCCTGGCCTTCAGTAAGGATTTGGTCAGATAATCAATCATTAGAGACACGACTGTTTTTTAATTTGAATTTCTTTTTTAAATTTACCTTTGCTTTCAGTTTTTTATTTTCTTCTAAAGTAGCTTCATATTTCTCTTTCATTTCTGCCAATTCTAGGCGAAGCAGCTCTATTTCTGGGTTTTCCGGGGTAGCAGCTCCTAAGTGATGCTTTAAAAAACTAGCATTAGTGTTAAGAATGTACTCAGAGCAGAATGAGGCCAGAGGGATAGTCACCCAGTAGTTATCCAAGGTCATGTGAAGATTCAAAAGAACTTTTTCAATAAACAAAAGTATTTAAAGCTTATTATATATGTGAATAAATAAAAATGTCAAAAAATATGACTTTTTTACTTCAAAGATGAAAAGGATACTCCAGAGCACTGGTGGGCTTCTCTGGTTCTTCATATAAGGCTACCAACACTGCAAACCAAAGAGAAAGAGAAGCAATGAAGTCTCCAGCGTAGACGGCTGAAATATTATAAAACTCAGTAAATACTGCCTGCCTGCTGAATGGTGAAGAGATTGCTAAGACTGTCCATACAGTGGTGAACAAGTCAGACAGTATCCTTGCTAGCAACAAACTTACAATCCACTATAAGAGATAAGGGAACTACTAGAATACTGAACTGCAATAGTGGTTAGTGAGTTTCAGAATGAGACTAGAGAATACTTAGCATCAGAGGCAGACCTGAGACCTAGCTGTGTTTCAGATAAAAATGGGAAAGCTCAAAGCACATAAAAGGGAACTAACGTGTCAAGTATGTAGTGGGTAATGAATGGAAAGGCAGTCTAAGGCCAGACAAGAAAACTGAGTAAAAATGAGTTGAATATTGATCCTAAGGACTACAAACATATTTCAACAGTTTGAAAGCAAGGAGGTGGCAGGGTCACTCCTGAATTGTGTATACAACACTGACTTAAGTGAGACATAGAAAATGGCACACAAGAAAGCTAGGTGTGGTATCCCACACCTGTACTCTCAGTACCAAGGAGGTAAGGCAGGGGAATAAGGAGTTCAAGATCATGCCTGGAAAAGCAATTAGCTGAAGACCTGGACTACAAGGACCTCTGTCTCAAAAACAAAAAGTCTAATGTAATCTAGTTAAAGAAATTCAAGAAATTTTAGGTAATTAACAGCATTCCATTTGGAACGTTCAAGAATTAAGTTTCATGTATGACAGGCTAGGCACCAACCAAAAAACATTACCACAGTCACCATGCTCAGACTGGCATTTAAAAATGTGCTAGCACTTCCTGTCAACACTGTCTCACTCATCTACTGAACAAGTCCTCCTAGGACTCAATATGCAGGTGGCAAGCTCTCCACACTAGTGCTGAGGACTTTGAAAAATCTCCTGAGGCTATGTATGCTTGAGCCAGTGTGTAGTTGAGACAGGTAACCCAAGCTTGCCTAGAATTCACTATTGTACTCCAGGCTGGCCTCAAATTCATGGCAATCCTCCTATCTCAGTGCCCCCATACAGGTGTTATAAAAATCTGACACAAGCAAAATATGTAACTTCAATGTGCATAACTTGAGAGTCCAAATTAAGAAATCCTGTTGTAAACTAATTTACATGTCCTGGGTTTTTGAATTTTAATAATTTAAAATTATTAAACAGACAATATGAAAAACATCAAGTAAACAGTTACTTTTACACCAAAATACACAGGTTTTTTTTTTCTTTAGACATCTCCACATTTATATCACAACTATCTGACCATCATCTCTTATTATGCTACATTATCTCAAATCCCTACTTACTACTTTTTGCTTTTAAAAAGTATACATTTAAAAGTGCTTCTTCCATTTATTTCCACTGATTTGTACTGAGTCTTAAGTCTTTATTTACTTACTTTTAAACATGACATCTCTCTGTGCAGCCCTAGCTGTCCTGAAACTATGTAAACTAGAGTGGCCTTGAACTCACAGAAATTGCCTGCCTCTGTGAGTGCTGCCTCCCAGGTGCTGAGATTAAACCCACGCCCCACCAGGCTGGCTAGGATCTAAACTTTCATAGGGTGTAACTATTATAGTGCTCTTGTCTTTTCCTTCCATCACTGCATCCCCATTCCCTTCAGCTTCCAAACTCCTACCTGTGGTGCCTGCAAGGCTGGGGCTACAGAGTATTAAGTTTTTTGGTTTCTTGGTTTTTGTTTTGTTTTGTTCTTTTCTATTGGATGACTGTGCTTTTTATCCAAAGAGAATTCAACCAAATCATATTCCCTTTTGCTTTAGAAGCTAAATTTACTGTTATTAGTTACATATTGGGGGGCGGTTTGGAAATCAGAGGACACATTTAAGAAACCTATACCTTCCTACCATATGAGTTTTGGGAATCAAACTTGGGTCCATTTGGCTTGGCAACAAGCACATTCACCTGCTAAGCCTTCTTGTTGGCCCTTAGCAACTAGGTATTTAAAGCCAGGTATTTTAAAGTTTGCTACCCTGATCAAAATAACTAAAATGCTGTTCCATCTTCACCTTCTTCATGGATGTTTTTATCTTGAAGGTTTTAGTTTTTGTTTTTTGGGGGGTTTAAAGGCTGGCTGGTTAGTTAAGTTTGGTTGTTTTTTTTTTTTTTTTATAGTTTTACTGTTTCGCCAAGGCTGGTCTCAGACTCAAGCAGTCCTCCTACTTCAGCTTGTCAAGCGCAATTATAAGTGAAACAAGATGTCTAGGCCCTCTGCATGTGCCTCAAACCTTTGAGGCAAGGTCTCCCTAGCTTCCATCCTTTTAGCTAGGCTATCACCCAGCAAGCCTTGATTATCCTTGTTTCTCCCCAACCCCAGCACTGGGATTACACACACAAAGACGCTGTCTAGCTTATGAGTGCTGGTATCTGAACTCTAGTCCCTGTAGTCTATCAAGTAGTCTTAACCTCTAAGCCATCTCTCCAGCCTAGCTTTAGTTGACTTTTCTTGAGACAGGTCTTGATACGTGCTCCAGGCAAGCAGTGAATGCTGATCTGCCTTCCCTCACTAGAACACTAAAAACATGTCATCATGCCTGGCTTCTTACAATATTTTGATGTTAAAAACTACTTTAAATCCTCTCTGAAATGTTGCTGATAGGAAAATGTAAGCTTGTATAAAGCATCTATGTTTGACCCTTTAAAATTGGTTTCCATTCTCTTACACAGCCTGAAGGCTGCACATTGGCTCTGCATTCAGTTATCTCCAGTTGTCCATCTGCCTTTCACTGCTTTTGTCTGTCCATTTACTGCGTCATTTCGTCCCCCCATCCTACCCACACAGAATACTTGGGACCAAAAGTATATCAGTGTTTATCTCCAGAGGTTGGAATATCTATTCATACATAATGAGATGTTTTGGGGATGAGATCCAAGCCTAAACATGAAATTCATTTACATTCCATATGGGCCTTATTCACATAATATGAACATGAACAAGTACATATTCCTAGGCTCCTGAATTTTGACTGACATAATTTATGCAGTCAAGCATGGAATTTTCTACATCAATGCTGAGTAAGTTACAGATTTGGGAGGAATTTAGATTTCAAATTTTCAGATTAAGGATACTTATCCGTACTTTAGAAATTCTGTTCAAGGTGTTCCCTCTGCCACTCCAAGTAGAATGTCTCATCTTTATCCTTGTTATGGTTTAAGTTATACATTTGCCACTAGCTGGCACTATGTTTTAGTGTTTGTGTCCCTAACTAAGCTCCAAGCTCCCAAAAGCAGGGATATTTCCATGGCTGTATCCTTGGTGCCCAGAACACAAGGCTGGAATAAGATCATTACATGAAAGAAACATCAGGGGATTTTTACCAGAATTCCAAGCCATCTGTGACACATCGATGCCACAAAGTACAGTGGTCTCACAGAGTAGTTCCTTATATTTTGCTCACACATTGACTTGCAACGACATAAGGAAATTAGTAGTAATTCTAACTCGTCAGTTCATCCATGTAAGAGAATTGAAAGCCCTGCTTTCTTCTAAGTTCTCCCAAAATTTCTCCTAGCTTCTGTTTCCCTAAAAAGCAGATACAAATTATTTCCCAGACACTTCCTATTCTCAAAAAGACCAAGGTTTCAATCTCTGCCAGCCATTCCATTCTATTCCCTCGAAAACACCAAACAATGTTGAGTTCTTCCTCAACATGTAGCAGGCATTCAATATACTGTTAAGGCCAGTTTAGCTGTATTCTCAATCTGGGAATCCTTGAGTTCAATCACCATACTCTCTAAACCTTACATCCAGAAAGGAAGGGATACACTTTAACAGTAACTTCCATTGTTTCAAAGTAAAGAATATAGCCATTTTTATGTGCTCTGAAGCGCTTTTCACATTGTAATTCCACTTTAATTATGACATCTACACAAAGTAGGAATTACTACAGGCTGAAAGAGTTGAAAAACCACAGCCCAAACTGTCTATGAATCTCCAGCTTCGGCGACTAGAGCCACTTAATAACCCACTTTCAAATCCAGTAATTTTCTTAGTTGTCTTTGTCCAAAAAAAAAAAAAATTGTAAAATCCCGCACACTATACGGCGGGAGCAATTGGGATCTCAAGGTCTCTTGATAACGTGTCCACTGCGGCTGCTCGAGGGAAAGCAACGGAAGTTGAAGAGACTTTGCAACAGCTGCAAGAGTTTCAGTCCTGGGCAGAGAGCGACCACGGGGGCGAGGCAAAGTCCCGCGGCCGGCGTGCGACCGACCCACCGGACCCCAAGGCCTCGCTGGTCCCCGGGCGGGCCCCACCTGGCCAAGAGCGCGCGGACGTGGGCTGCAGACCTCGGCTCACCTTTCGTCAGCGTGTCCAGCACCCCCGACTTCTCCAAGTACCTCCGGAACTGCTCGCGCTTCGAGTCGGCGGCCTGAGGAGACACGGCGGGTCAGGGACCGGAGCCCGGGGCCAGAGCAGGAAGACGGCGCGCCCCGCCGCCAGCCCCAAGCCCTGCACGCGCCCCAACTCCCACCCGGCGCCGCCCGCACGCCCCGAGCCACGCCGCGCCCCCCTCACTTTGTAATGGGCCATAGTGACAGCCACAGCGGCGTAGCTGGCGCCGGAGACACGGGCTGGCGGGCTCCAAGCCTCACTGCTCATGCGCGGAACGGCGCACGCGTCTGCGCACTGGGCAGGCACGGGCGGGGACCGCCGGGGTGTGGCCTGTTTTCATGGCGACCGGGACGCTGTGTATCCCAATCTCCTCGGAGCCCAGGGAGGCTGCGTGCGCCCGCCCTCCGCGGTTCCGGTCAGTATCGCATCTTCCTGTTCCGGTCGCCGCGGAGATTCCGTTGCCTAGCAAGAGGCGAGGTTTCGGTAAAGCCAGGCTAACGTTCTGCCGGGCCCTGTATGGGTGTGGCCGGGAGAGGCTCTAGGCGTGGCACCTCCCCACGTGGTAGTGGGCGCGCACTCCTTGTCTTTTGGATCTTTGGTGGGGAACCGGCCAAAGCTGTGTTTCTTGGCTTTGAGAAAAATACCCAGCACCGGGAAGTTGAAAGCAGAACAGGAAAAAGTTCAAGGTCACCCTCAGCTACATAAAGAGTTTGAATCTCTCTTGAGCTCCATGTTCAGGGCTCGCATGTAATCATTAAGCCCCGAGAGGTTTGCAGATAACAGCTGGCTGGGAGAAAACTTATATCTACAGCAATGTTAGATTAGGGCAAAGACCTCTGAAGTAGTGGTCCTTTTCCCTGCCTTTGTCATTAATTTTATTTTTTCTTTTATTTTTTTCTTTCTTTTTTAACTCTCTTATTGGTTAACATTAAGTTCTTTTCCATATATTATGCATGTTTTCATGTTGAAAATAATTATAGGATATAATTATACTAATATATAATATATATATTAGTATATATTATTATATAGTATAATATATACTATATATTAGTATAATAATAATTATACTAAGTGTGTATGTCTCTTTAATTCCTCTTTCATTCATTCAAAATGCTTGTTCCACTTTACCCATCCAGGAGCCACCCTATGTGCAGAAGATTTAAATTTAAAAACGTGGCTATGCTGCTGAATTTGTTTTGTTTACTGAGAAAATTTCTGGGTGCAGAAGAGGGCCCTTTAATGAATTTGTAGTTGTGCCTGCTGCTTGGCTAGATTTTGTTTTGATTTCTTTGTATAAAAGTCATTCTATTCACCAGGCACTGGTTGCACACGAATTTAATCTCAAGAAAAGCAGAAAAGGGAGGCAAAGGCAGGCGGATTTCTGAGTTCGAGAGTTCGAGGCGAGCCTGGTCTACAGAGTGAGTTCAAGGACAGGCAGGGCTACACAGAGAAACCCTGTTCGAAAAAAACAAAAGAAAAAAAAAAGCAGAGGCAGGTGAATCTCAGCCTGGTCCAAGATATCTAGGACTACACAGAGAAGCCCTGTCTCCAAAACAAAGAATTCATTGTATTCTTGTTTCAATGTAAGGCTCTATCCCCATCTTACCTTTTTTAAAAACAGTGGATTTTTTTTTTCAGGGAGTTGGGGAAGGGTATTCATGCCACGGTGCAGTTGGAGATCAGAAGACTCACAAGACTTGCTCTCTTTCCACCATGTGAGTCTCAGTAATTAAATTAAGGTTTGGCAACAAGTGCCATTACCTACCAAGCCATCTTACTGGCCCCTAGCTGCAAAGTTTCTAGACTATTTAAGAAAAGCGAAATGATGGCTCTATATTGCACAAATAATGAAAATACTGTCTTTTTCTCTTGGTCTTAAAAAAAATCATATTTAGTTATGAGAAGCCACAGAACTTAAACTGATGTGGAAAGAACTGTCCAGTCATAAACCCAGCTTCAGTCACAGCTGACTGGACAAGCGCAGAGCAGGGCTCCCCTGGTGAGGCCGCTTGCCTCCCTTTGTTCTTGTTGGCAGTGACCTTCCTCCAGTCTCTGGTCTAAGGCATTCCAACTCACCTAGTTTTCTTAGTTGAGCTTTTTGGGATTTTTACATTGAGGGGGATAGGGTGACGTTTTGTTGTTTTGAGGCAGGGTCTCACCATGCATGAACTCCCAACTCCATCCCAGGAACCTAAGCAAGGCACTGTTACCTTTTCACAGTGCTTCCTCCTAATACTGCCTGTTGTAACAGACTTAACTATGGCAAAGAATGGGTCCACCTGTCCTGGAAGGAGGCTACTCCAGACTCCTGTACACAAGGAGCTGGATATGAGGTAACCAACCAAAGCTGCAGCTACAGCGTATTCACTTCAGCAAGGGTTAGCTCCCTCTAAGTACATGGGAATCCTTTGATAAAACTTCATGCTTGCCACATAAAGGTGAGAATGAAGACATACAGTTTAATTAATGACTAGTGGACCCTACCATGACCTGAGACCACCAACATCTTTAAAATCAGCAACTAGTGAACAATAGCCAGTAGATAAGCCAGGCTCAGCTGCTGACATGAAAAGTCAGAGATGGACAGAGAGAGCCTCCCCCTCCCCCACCCCCTGAGTGAGCAGCAGATGAAGAGCCAGTGAATGTGGAATGATCACCTCTTTGGTTGGGGACAGAGGAACATGTATGGATCAGGAGTGCTCTCCACTGGCTCACGTGATGCTCAGAGAATTCACTCTCAATAAAATTCCCTTGCTGTTTGTCCAGATTCTGCCATATGTCCTGTAAAAAGCCCCTACAGTGTAGCACCCGATTTTTTTTTTCTCCTTTCTTGGAGCTGCCTCCTATATTGGAGGCAATCTCACCTTTTCCATAGCCTTCTCTGGGTCCTCTCTGGAGCGCTGGCTCCTGTCCCAAGCTCTTCTTTTATAAACTTTCTCTCCATAATAAGCTCTTTAAAAAAAAGAAAACAAAAAAACAAACAAAAAAAAAACCCTCACCTTTGGGTAGACTGATGAGCTGGCTCAGTGGATAAAGACACTTGGCTTGAAAGCCAGATCTGAGTTTGATCCCTGGAACCATCATATAGATGAGAGCCAATACTCGCAAAGCGCCCTCTGACCTCCATATGTACTTCGCACGCACACACATGCATACAATAAATATAATAAAATATTCTTAAATAAAATAATGATTAGAAAGCCTTCACCACTGAAAATGACATGTGTCTTTAATCCTAACATTTGAGAGCCAGAGGCAAGCAGATCTCTGTGAGCTTAAGGCCAGCCAGAGTCACATGCTGAAATTCTGTCTTAAACAGTGAGAACAAACCCATCACCCTTTATCAACCATGAATGCCAAGTTTGCAGACAAGGCCGCAGAGACAGACTTGCTGGATGCTTTCTAGGACTGTGAACCTCTGGTACTCCAGTTCCTGAGGTGACCCCACATGAGATGAGAGAGTCTCCTTTGCACTCCCTTTTTTCCTGTCCCCATTTACTAACAGATTATAGCTTGCCTGCCCTGTGGGTTTTTTCAAAGACTAGTAAAATGGTCAAGCTTCATTATTGTCAGGGTCCAGCCTCAACACAGTTCTCAACTGGAAGCAGGGATATCTGGAAGGCACGTAATAAAGACTACTTTTCAGGTACAAACTGACAGGCAGTTTTTCAAGGCTTAAAATTGTTCTCGCTCTCGCTCTCGCTCTCGCTCTCGCTCTCGCTCTCGCTCTCG